CACCCATATATAATTATAAATTTAGAAGCATATGGAGAAAATGCATGAAAGGAAAGCTTGAGACTTGAGTGGCATGTCAAAGATTTCTAAGGGAGTCCCTGTGCCCCCACATTGTTGACATGAACCGGGAAGAAGGAAATAGTCAGGCTGCATTGAAAAAAGAGAGGCACACACATGCGTGAAGATCTGAGACAGGGTGGCATACGTCATCTCTAGCATTGGAAGAAGGCTGCAGAAGCTTGGTAAGGAAGAAGAGTAACACAGCCCAGAAGCATGGAGGGCTCAGAGTGCGCCTCATCTTAGAGCTAAAAATGGGCAAGTGGCCCACACACTTCTCCACTTCATGAAGGTCAAATGTGAAGCCAGCGGTTGGGGTGTTCTTGGCCGTGCTAACTGCCTCTTCTCATTTAAGCAGTTTTAAATAAGTGTAATTGTGAGAATCGTGGTTTAATAACAGAATTGGTCTCAGGTTCTCTTAAAAAGGCACTCCACTAAAAGGACCAAGTAATTGTTATGCATCGTCACCCATGTGTAGCCATGGGCAAAATTTCAGAGCTGAGCCCAGAGAAGGCAGAAGCTATGGAATTGAGCATCTGAAATGTTGGTCACATGACTCACGTTGCTTCTGCTAACACTCTAACCAGCCTACGTCTCAAAACGTAAAAAAGTTTCCCAACATGAAGGAAAGGAAGAGGCGGTATTCCAATTCAGGTCTTCCAAATGTGACCATTTCTACTGGCCATTCTGCCTCAGGCACTGGACTGGAGAAGTGGCTCAGCAGTCAAGAGCACTTGCTGCTCTTCCAGAGGATGCAGCTTCACTCCCTAGCCCCCATTTCGGGCAACTCACAACCACATGTAACTCCTCAAGGACCAGGGGATCTGATGCTGCCTGCTGATCTCTGTGGACACCTCACAAATGTGGATACACACATACATAAAAATGTATATTAATCTTTAAAAAAATAAATGGCGAGTAATAATTCCTCAAAGGCCATGGCTCGAAGAACATCTTTGGTGCTGGACTTGCAGAAAAAAAAGGTCTAGGTGCATGTCAGTAGACTCATCCATTTTACCCATTCATTTACTCTTGATTCGTAAATACAAGCATTTAAACAGCTAAAGTTTGCTGAACAAACATGAGCTGAACACAAGATAGTGAGTCAGGAAAATAAACAATCAAAGAGAAAGAAAGGTTGGGAGATGCAGGGTCTGCCTTCAGAGAGCTTCGATTCAGAAAGCTGATCTAACATCCACATGGTTGCAAAATCGCACAGTGTCTCAGCAAGACAGATTCTGAATATTGCCTGCCATGCCCTGCCAGAGCAAGTCTGATGTAAATGGGCAGATAGGTACAGAAGATTATTCCAAAACAGTTTTCATTGTTTGGGGGAGATGTCCACATTTAAAGGCATTTCACATCTTTTTTTAATAGCTCAGCTGTAAAGGATGCTGTTCTAAACCCAGGCCCATTGTTTGTTAGAGGAGGCTGTGGATAGACTTGAGTAAATTAATTCCTCTATTGATTCTTTCTTTTCACCTCCTTTTCTATGTCAGATAACTCTACTAAAGAAGGGTTGAAGAAAGGGAACCTCTTCCAAATTTTTTTTGCTTTAACAGCACTGGGGTTGGAACCCAAGACACCAGCAAAGTACGACATCACTGACCTAATCCTCGTTCCTGTTTATTTTGATTTGCTTTGTCCAAAAAACACAGCAAGTTGGGTTATTGAGTCACTGGTCTTGATGGGATGTGGTTGGGGTAAAGGAAGGTAAAACTAAAACGGATCATGGAGTCTTTGACTATCGGACGAGAGTGGTTAGACTTTCTATATTACAGCAGAGAGAAAATCCTGAATCTTCAGGAGCGCGTGCGTGCGTGCGTGCGTGCGTGCGTGCGTGCGTGCGTGCGTGCGTGCGTGTGTGTGTGTGTTTGGAGAGCCAGTCTCCTAATTAGGGAATATACACTGAAATGGATAATATTTTTTCTAATTAAAGAAATGAATCTAGTGCATCAAAGATACGCAGGTCATTGTTTTATTCTCAGCTTCTACTGAGAGCGAGTGTGTGCTCAGCCTGATACTTCCCCATCTTACTATTCTAACAGCATTACTAGGCATTAGTCTCCAGATTCATTTGAGGTTAGCAATCTTTCGCTTCAGCCAATATTTGGTGCTTCCAAACAAAAACAACTGCCAGCGTGTAGCTTGCCCTCTGACCAGAATTCACTTCCTACCCCATGTCACACGGTAGCGCCTCCTCACGCTTTCTGTGGTATAGATGGTCAAACACTTGATGGTTTCTTTCGTTTAAGAGCATGCTCAACATGGGTTTTTGACATTTTCCTGCAGCTCAGACATCTTCCATATCAGATTTTAATAATATCTGGACCCATAACCTTTTGCTTCAAAATTGGTTTTGGCAAGAAATCAACAGTAGGAGAGTGTCTATATTAAATATTGATTTTTTTAAAAGACCTCTTTTTTTTCTCGCCCTTTCTTTACAGAAGGCAAAAGAAGATAACAAAAGGGTTAATAACCTTTTAAAACTGCACCTATTTTCCCCATTATCTTTATTCTCTGATTTATAATAGTACAATTTGGGTAATATTTAATCTCACAAATACAAATGTGTACTAAAAACATTTTTAATAAAATGAATCAAATTACAAGTTTGATTTTGAGATACTCTGCCAAGGAAGAATTTAATCCAAAGAAAAATATGCCACATGGTGGTGGTGCACACCTTTAATCCCAGGAGGCAGAGGCAGGTGGATCTCTGTGAGTTTGAGGCCAGCCTGGTCTACAGTGAGTTCAAGGACAGCCAGGGCTACACAGAGAAACTGTGTAGCTTTGAAAAACCAAACTAAAGCAAAACACAATGTGAAGAAATAAATTTGGAATGAACATTTCTCTTATTTCACTTTATCATCACTATTATTACTGTTGTTGTTACTACTACTATTGTTTGGTTTTAAAAAGAATCTTGCTGTCCATCCAAATTGGCCTCAAGTTTGCAATCCTCCTGCATAAGCCTCCAGGGTATTGAGATTACAGGTGTGCATCACTGTGCCCAATTTATTATGTCAAAATTTTAAGGGCACATGTTCAGTTCACATTGTACTAGTTTCATGTCTGTTGTTGTGATAAAAAAAAAAACACACTGCCCCGAAATCAACTTAGAGAAGAAAGGATTTATTTCATCTCTGATTCTAAGTTACAACCCATTATTGTGGAGAAGTCAAGACAAGAGCTGGATTCATCATATCCACGGTCAGAACAGAGAGAATAAATGCTTGGATCTCTGCATGTTTTATTGCTAGCTGTCTCCATGCTGACAGGGTTCTGAGACCAGCCTAGATGATGCTGGTGCTGCCGCCACCTTCAGAGTGAACCTTCCCAAGTCAATTACCTCAGTTAAGAATCTCTCTCTCTCTCTCTCTCTCTCTCTCTCTCTCCCCCCACATGCAACCTAATCCAGGCAATCCCCCATTGAGACTCATTGCCTGGTGGTTCTAGATTGTGAAAATAAGGAACACAGGCACAATTTCATGATAAACAGGAGTATAACCCACTTTCTCTTCAGCAGGTTCATCTGCCAGACACTGGGGCATAATGATCCCTGCCAGGTTAATGCAGCTACTGTGTGCTACCACAGTTCCCCTCCAGATTTCATAGTCATAAACAGGACAGGATTTGGAGATTGAATTATATCATACAAGTGAACCCTAGTAAAATGAAACTTCTTTAAAAAGAGGAGGGACATGGAAGGGCTCTCCCGGAACGTGTGCTGAGACAAGCCCAATGTTCTCCTGTAGGAGGCAGAATGGGAGCTGCACCCAAACTCCACCTTGCTGACCCGCTATGGTGAGCTTCAATCTCCAGAACTCTAAGAAAGATAATACCACTGACAAAGCCATGGTAATTGACCCCTGACATTAAGAATTGACTACCAAACTTGTAGCCATTGTGTGAACTGGGAAAAAATGGGTAGGTTAACAGCACAGGTCATTTGAACGTAAGCGTGTCTCTATCAGCCCATTCCTCAGACTTCCCTCTGAATCAGGAATTAGCAAATATTGAACCAACCTCTCGAAAATTCCCAAACCTCCGGCTATGGTTTTTCTTTTAATTTTCCAGGTTTGGCAAATTCACGGGAAACCAATGAGCCATTCTCCCTTCTGGTCCTTGTCATTGGGATTTTGTGTTCTAGCAAGAAGTCATCATCTAAGATCTCAGAATTCTACATTGAGAATAGAAAGAAAGAAAATTTCTACAATGCTCCCTGAAACTGCAATGTCGAAATAAACCCAGGATTTGTTCTGGCTGCATTTGCGTTCTGTAAAACATCTTAAACACAAAATAAGCAGTGTTGTGCCTGAAACTAATTGGCAGTGTCCCCAGTGCCATTTTACAGTCAGCTTCTATTAATTGGATTAGGGATTCGGTGCGAATGGCAGCTGGTAGAGGCTTTGCAGTTACTGTGGCTCTTCTCTGTAATCCCCGCAGCAGAAATCACGTAACAACGACAGAGAGTAGCATGGTTGGTGATTGCGCTTGGGCATTTGTTTTCCTTCTTTTGGGAAGGCGTGTGTGTGTGTGTGTGTGTGTGTGTGTGTGTGTGTGTGGTACATGTGTGTTCACATTGTGGGAGTTCATGTGTTTAGGAGTGCGTGTGCACACGGAAGGCAAAGGGTTGATATTGGATGCCTTCCTCAGTCCCTCTTCACCTTCTATAATGAGGCAGGGTGTCAAATTTGAACCTAGAATTTGTTCATTCAGCTAGCTTAGCCAGTCATCTTGCTCAGAGGGTCCTCTGTCCTCACTTTGTGCATTTGGGGATCACTCAAGGTCACCTGGCATTTACATAGTAGGTTCATGGACCTCTGATTACAGGAAGCACTGTATCTGCTGAGCCCTCTCCTTGGCCCCTTCCTTATGTTTTTTTTTTTTTCTGGAAATTAAAAGAAAACAAAAGCTAAACTCACTTTCTCTCCTTTCAGGCTTTCTCCGGCCATCTTTTTATACCTGATCAACATCATGCCGTCCTTGTGGCTCCTTGAATTGCACCATGGAAACCAGGTATGCATTCCTAAAATGCAAATGATGGTGATGTTCAGCAACAGTCCACTTTCAGAACAGGACAAGATCTGTGTCATTACCGTGCCTTCCCAAGGGTTTGGAATTATCTAGAATTGAAGAAAAAAGAGGCCAGGGGCAAAGGAAAGTGAGACCCTAATCTATCAAAAATAAATTAAATAATCACAGTGAGTTCTGAGTTACAATTATTTAACTAGCATTTGCTGTGGGTGATTGTCTTAATTAGCTTTCTGTTGCTGTGGTTAAAACCATGACCCAAAGCAGCTTGGGAAGGAAAGGGTTTATTTGGCTTTATAAGCCTGATTGCAGTCCATTGAGGGAAGCCAAGACCGGAACTCAAGCAAGGCAAGAGCCTAAAGGCAGGAACTAAAGCAGAGGCCATGAAGGAGTGCTGCTTACTGACTTGCTCATCAAGGCTTGCTCAGCGTGCTTTCTTATAGTCCAGGACCACCAGCGTGAGAGGGGCTCTGTCGTTAGTGAACTGGGCTCTTCTATATTAATCACCAATCAAGAAAATGCCTCACGAGCTTGCTTACGGGTCAGTCTGATGGGGCTATTTTTTCAATTGAGTTTTTCTCCTCCAAGATGGTCCTAGCTTGTATTAAATTGACAAAGAACGAGAAGAAGAAGAAGAAGAAGAAGAAGAAGAAGAAGAAGAAGAAGAAGAAGAAGAAGACGAACCAATAAGCATAGTGGTCTTCTTCTAAGATCCACCCTTCTTTCCCCAAGACATGCTAGCTTGAGTTCACAGGGGGCTGTGAAAATGATCTATTTATCTGCTTATGTTTGTATGTCCCTGTGTGGGTGTGTCCATGTACATTTCTGAAACTGGGTTCTTCCTGAAGAAGCCAACAGAAGGTACAGGATGTTCTCCTCCATCCCTCTCTGCCAAATTTCTTCATGGCAAGATCTGTCACTGAACTCTGTCAGCAAGCCCAGGAATTCTCCTCTGCCTGTCCCTGCCAGCTCTGGGGTCATAGGGTCATGCAGAAAAGCCCAGATTTCACATGGATGTTGGAAATTTACACTCAGGTTCTCATTCTTACACAGCCCGTCATTAAGCGCTCAGCCATCTCCCTATCTCTGTGAGTATGATCGAAGACTTGCAGCTTCAGGGTGTCCCAAGAAGTTATGCTAAGTGTTTCATTATGCTAAGGCCTTGATCTGGCATTATTAGGAAGATGTTCTTAAGAAATATCAGAGTTAAAAATGAAACTACATTTAAAAAAAAAAACCTTTATCTGTGTCCACATGAATACATTCCAACTTCTAGGGACCAATGAAAACACAAGGGGAGCAGATTGCAGGATATACACTTTTGGAGCTTGGTGGGACATCATAGTAAAAGAGAAATCTTTGGGTTGAAGAGAAAGCTCAGCAATTAGGAGCACTTGCTGCTCTTGCAGACGACTGCAGTTCAGATTCCAGTACCCACATCTGGTTGCTCACAACTGCCTGTAACATTTCCAGGATCTCTATTGCCCTCTTCTGGCCTCGACAGGCAGCAACATGCATGTGGGTGCATGTCTGGCTTGAATGCGCACACGCGCGCACACACACATACATACATTCACACACAATTAAAAATAAAAGCCGAATAAAATGTACTTCTAGGGCCTTGATATTAAATATAAGGGAGTAATATCATGGAGCCCACCACAGGGAAAGGTACCATACATATCCAACCACACAGACGATGACCATGGCTCCTAATCCAATCCCCATTTATAAAGCAGTTCCCATTACTCGTGTTTGTTTTCTTGAGCCACAGACTGCCCTAGTATTTGCCTATATAGCCCAGGCTGGCCCTGAACTTGAAGTAATTCTCCTGCCTCAACTTCCTGAGTTCAGACTCCTGAGTTCAGCATACCTGGTTTATAAAATGTTTTAAATATCGACCTACTTCCTCCGTGAACTTGTCTGGCTAATAGACTCAAGACCGAGCCTGTCATTTGTTTTGTTAGCTCTCCTGTACCAGCCTTGGAAGCTTCAATGATAAAATGCCTTAGGCAAGATTTGCTCAAAATTGACCCTGTATAGATTTTCTTTACTGTGGCTGTTATTTTATATCAAGGTTGAGTCTCCAATTCATATATAACTTTATCTGAAAATGCTTCCTGCAAACTTGAGGTACAAAAGAGAGTAATTTACCTTTGTGGATCTCTTTTTAAGAAACTCCCAAGCAAATATCAATCATGTAGCCACCAATAAAGCATTTCTCCTCCTCAGACCTCTTGCTGAAATTCATTAAAGTTCAAGGCAACCTCAATGTCTGCATTAAAGTATTTTGGTAACTGTAGATTGGTTAATTCAAGTCACCATGGCTTTGATAAAAAAGACCACAGAGAGCCAGAGGACCACTTGACTCTCTTGTCAGGACTACGAGAACAAGCTGAGGTGATTTGAATCAATTTATCCTCGACAATCCAATTCTATGACATGGCTATCATCCACAATAAGAATTCGTTTCTCCCAAATGCTTTCGTAACATAAATGTATCACACAGCCAATGGATATACAGGTCAAATCCCATTACAACCAATAGCATGCAACCAAAAACTCTTTTTAAGAGAGAGAGAGAAAGAGAGAGAGAGAGAGAGAGAGAGAGAGAGAGAGAGAGAGATTTGAGCCTTGGGCAGAACTTCTGTGTTTCTCATACTACAAAAGAAATCAAACCTTCACTGTTGTGATTTGACACTGGAAATTAAAATGAATACTAAGAGATTGAAGCAGGCAGGGCAAGCAGAGATGCAAGTTGGAAAAAAAAGAGAGAGAGAAATATTGGGGTTATGTTTAAAGAAATAAGTGGCATTTCAGAATTGAGGGAGATATAGAAATCCCCTTTGTCCTCTAGTTGCGACAATCAATTTTGTTATATAGAACCTGAAATTTCACAGAGTTTTCAGATAGATTTTTTCACGCAGAGATTTAAGGACCTCAAACATTAGGCATGGTGCAGATATTTCTGTTTTATAGAAGACAGCCGTGGGGCTTAAAAGACAAGTTCAGAACAAACATGCGGCCCAGAAGAATACACTCTAATGTTTCAGGGGAGCTCACCTAAGAATCATCTGAGTTTTTCCATGATGGAAAAGAATCATTTACTTGTCATTTATGAAACTAGAGAAGCGGATTGGTGGTTAAGAACACTTGCTGCTTTTGCAGAGAACCCGAGTTCAGGTCTCAACACCCACCGAGCCCACCACGTCCTGGAACTCCAGGTCCAGGAAATCTGACACCCTTTTCTGGCCTCTTCAGTCACCTGCAGGCATATAGCATAAAAATACAAGGAGACATACACATACACGAAATTTAAATTAAAAAATAAATCTTAGTTTCCATTCATATTCTCCATATTCTTGCATCCCAATTGTTCTAGATGACCAGTGTCATTCCGTCATTGCTACACACATGCAAACCACAATGTCCTAAGGATTTCAACTCTAACCACACTTGAGCTCTGCTTGGGAGAGAGCTCCTTGAAAGTGATGGAAATGCCCAGTTCTTCATGATGTCCTTGTCACTTTCAAGTCAAAGGGATATTTTAGGGTTCAATGACATAGCCATGAATCAATGACATAGCCATGCTGGTACCAAAATTACCTTCCTAAAATCCTCTGGATGACGGTGCCCACTAAAACACCAGACACAAAAGCAGAGCAGGTCAAATCAGGGTGAATGGGTCAGCCCCCTGCTTTTGGCAGCCTTGATGTCTTGCGAAGAAAAGGTCCATCAGTCTAAAACTGAGTACCGAGGAGAGGAGAGGAGCTCAGTTAGTGCCATGATGCACATGAAAAGCTGTTGGCTTCCACATTAGAAGGCACTGCCTTCAAGAGTGTCATTTCCCCTAATAGCAAGATGTTTACACAGTTTTACAGATAAAGGTATTAGAGCCTAGCACCTCAGCACCTTTAATACACAGCATGTTTTTATACCTCTAAAAAACAGGTGGTTAACGTTTTGTCTCTAGTGACAGTTACATAGTTAAGCTCATCAAGTTACTCGACAGATGATGATTGGTGATTTGCATCAAAGATTCAGTGTTTTGGCTGCACTATCTCTTCTTTAAACGTTGGTTACATTTGTGTATACACATATATGCATGCACACACAACATACACACATGCAAATTTACTAACATGAACATGCACACACAGTCATGCACACACACGTAACACATGCTCACACAATGTGTGTGCATTCACATTCACACACATATGCTTACTTGTATATTCACTTGCATGTTCACACATACATGCATGCACACACACATGCACATACACACATAATGTGCATACTCCTAATCACGTTATTTCACTTAGAACACTAATCACTTAAGTTGAGAGCAGAAAATAATGGCTTCTTGGTAGACTTTATTATCTATTTGTCAAATGGCTTATGGTATAAATGGTACAGTTTTGAGAATAATTAAGAAAAAAACACTTCTTATAGCTTTAGTTCTTCCCGCCCCACCCCATAACTTCTCTCTAAAGGAATGTGTAATCATGGAATATGGTAGTGATGGTGGTGATGATTGGTGGTAGTCTCTCTGTCTCTGTCTCTCTCTCATGTGTATGTGTGTGTGTGTGTGTGTGCGTGTGTGTGTGTGTGTTTATAAAACATGCCAGCACTGCAGATACTTAGAGTCGATCACCCTCTAAAGCCAGTTTGTAAAGTCTACGGCTGAAGTGGCTACTTTGCCAAGTGTTGTCTTATTAAATTTTCCCACCTGTATTCTACCTCAGTTTCCCAATATCTGGCTAGATATGATTACAGACAGTTTGTTTGCATAATGAAGAGAGGAAAGAAGGAAATCATCCTTTAGGTCAATTATCCAATTTCCCACAGCCCTAAGTTGGCTTAGTAGCAGCACTGGCTTCTGGGATGCTGGACGTGCTGACTTGGTTGTGCCGAAGCCTGAAGGGTGAAGAGTAATTGGATTATTTATTTAACTGGAATGATATTTTTAGATAGAGAGCTTTCTTGGTAAGAAAACAAACTCATAAAATAAAAGTATTCTTAGAGTTTGTATCACAATTGCTCCCAAAAAGTTTCAAGAAAGGGACCCCACTAACTAACCCATAGATTTTATAGCTCTCTAGGATGGCTCAGCATCTGTATCCTCCATGCATTCAGGGTCAGGCAGTGAACGCTCTCTTTGGTACCTTCCACTTCATATTCTGGTCTCAGGTAATGTTTACAGGGACCCTGGAAATGTCCCACATCTTCATCCTCTCTTGCATGGAGTGAAGCTGCTTTGTTGTTACTTCACTGTGACAGTTTTTCCACACACGCCCTCAATTCTTAGAATTGCAGCATCCTGGCACAGAACATCAGCACCGAAGGAAATGTCAATCAAACCTCGACATCCCAGAGACCTACCAACGGAGTGGGAACGATCATATATTTGGTGAGAGCTTTTCCCATAATTTATGATAAGTTTCATAAAGTTGCAAAATTTGGGGGCACAAGAATTGTAAAAGAAGATGTGTTTCCTTCATTAAACCTGCATCACCTACGTGCTGGTGTACTTAACATTAATAATCACTTGCATTAGAAGCACAACTCTTACAAGTATATAGAAACATAACTAAAGTGTATCATATTACAGCATATTAATTATATTGTCATAAATTTAGGTACTCTAATTATGTCTATATTTAATATATAGTTGTGCCTGATAACATCTTTCTTTAATCAGAGTAAATTCAAATTTGCAGCATAAATGAGAGGAAGGTATCTGAATTTCCCATAAACCTCTTGCACTCATACATACATAATCTCCCTTCTTAACATATCTTGCATCTTGATGATATGTTAGTCCAACATCTGTATAGATTTGGGGCAGGGTATCACACAGTACAGATTGGCTAAAAATTCACTATGTAGCTGAGAATGACTTTGAACTTCTAATCTTCCTGTCTCCACTTTACACATGCTATTACAGGCGTGTACCACCACATCAGGTATATGTGATGCTGGGGGTTGAACACAGTTTTGTGAGCTATTTTGGATATTTTAGTTCTCCATAGCATCTTTAGACTCAGTTCCTCACCACTCACAAAATAGTTTGATGGTGCTATGGTTGAGCTGGCATCAAATACGTGACAAGTCATGGATCACTTGACATATTGACACTGGTGAGTCTACTTAGCAATGAACAAGAGCCATCTCTCCAGTTAGTCCATCTTCGCTTTCAGCCTGCAAGAACTGTGGACATAGCTTAGAGCTACAACTTATGTCTCATAGATACAAGGTCCAGTGTTTGACTCTCAGTACTATCCAGAAAACAGAAAGACTGGTTGAACTCCTCAGTATTAGTAGTTTTATTATCTATATCTATGTCTCTATATATCTGATATATATATAATGTATTTTAATATAGATGCACATATAACATACATATACTTTAACATTTTATTAGATTCACAACCAAGTGTTTTATTTTGCACAGTGACAATGTGATTATAAATTTTAGTTTTAACATCTATTTTTTTATTAGTATAGAAAAAGAAGATTGACTCTTGAATATCAAGCTTTATTCTACAATTTCTTCATTAATTCCAGTAAAGTTTTTGTTTATTTTGTTTATTTTCCCCACCAAATCTTTAGGATTTTCTACATATGTATGTGATGTCAGCAAAGACAGTTTTATTTCCTCCTTTCCAATGAACATAACTCTTATTTTCTTTTCTTATTTTATTGAAGTAGTTGGGGAATATATAAATACATATTTGTTATTATATATTCATTATGTTTATATATAGCATCCATATAATAGAAAAGGCTGTTTGCCAAAATTCAGTGATAGAGTGGCTTTTTTTCTTCACACATCTTATATTTTGCAAGTTGGTGATGTCCTGTTTGCAAACAGTTTACAGAGGGGACTCAAGACAAACAAAGTCACTACCCCTGAGAAATGTTTTCTTAAATAAGATACACTGTTGAGTCCCAGAGGAGAATAGAGCAAGGCATGCATTATCATTCAAGTTCTAGTAGAACTTCCCTGTGCCACTGTGGACAAGTCACTTGCTTTTCATCTTAACTAAAATGGTAGCATTTATCCTGGTAATGTGTTAAGTGAGTTGTATGCGAAGCCACGTAGGAGAGACATCAAGAAACAAGTGATAAAAATATTTGATCTTGCTGTATGGACACCATCAAGGTTCCCATCTTCCTTGATCACTTCTCTCCCTTTGTACAGTAGATTTGGTATGAACAACTGATCAAGATGTGTGTTTCGATTTTGTATAAGAGTAGCTATGCCCTTGGCAGCGGTCACCTGGCATTGTTATCCTGTCTATTTGTGACACAGCTTTTGTAGTCTTGAAATATTTTAGCCTAAACCAGTAATAACATGCTTTGAAATTTACTTAAAAATTTAATGGAAAGGATATTTCCTCCAAAATCTAGTAGGGGATCTAAGTTTTTCTCAAAACCTAAAAATAAAGGCACACTGGATTTTTCTTGTTGAATTATGGATTATTGAATGATATTCTATGTATTCAGAGCAAAGATAGGAGATATTACAATTATTCTCTTCCATTAAGCAAATGGACAAACACTAATGTTTTTCTGGCTAGAATTTTAAGGCAGTGTAAAACAAAAAAAAAGATTGTAGTATGTTAAAACTCCCAATGCTACCAGGCGGTGGTGGCACACGCCTTTAATCCCAGCACTCAGGAGGGAGAGGCAGGAGGATCTCTGTGAGTTCGAGGCCAGCCTGGTCTACAAGAGCTAGTTCTAGGTCAGGCCTCAAAGCCACACAGAAACCCTGTTAGTAAATTCAGATTTAAAGTCAGTTAAAGAAAATACTAGATGTTTTATAATCTTAATATGGAACTTATCAAACTGTGCTATGTGTTATACTTTATTGTAGAGTACAATAAAATCCACAATGATCTCTAAAAGATTATTACATTGGTCCTTAACTATTACAAGATATCGTCTTACTAAATGTAAGATTTAAATTAGCCACAGGGTAAGTCTGACCTTAAGGACTCCATTATATTTCCTTTTTAGGGTGTTCATCTAAAAGGGGTGGCATTTTTCTTGTTAAATTAAGAATGGCTCTTGGAAAATGTTGACAGAAACACACTGCTGAATGAAATCCATGTTGAAGTAGACAATCTCCTACACACTGATGGTCTCTAATCCTGATGTCTATGGGCTGTCTCTGTTCAACAGACCTCGGAGTTCCTAGAAACCCTATCCTTGGTATGTGATCCAGTCTGGATCCTAGCACTCCATCAAACGCTGCTGTTGATATTGATCCTTGGACGGTGGCTTCTGCCCATTGGAGGCACTATTACGAGAGACCAACTCTCAGAACTTCTTCTGATGTTTGTGGGGACAGCGGCAGACATACTGGAATTCACCACTGAGACACTAAAGGAAGATAACGTCAGGTAAGGTCAGAAGCACCACACTTCCGTCTCATCGTCTCAAATTTGTACTTTCCATGACAAATGTGTTTAAACATATCTTTATGTCAGGGCTCGAGGGATGAATTATTTAGTAAACTGTTTGCTGTGCAAGCATCAGGACCTGACTTTGGATCCCCAGTTCCCATGATAATACTAGGCATGGTGGTGTGTGTCTATGATCCCGGCACTGGAGATGTGGAGACAGGAAAAGCTCTATGGCTTGCTGTCTACCCATTGAAGCCAAATCCGTAAATTCCGGGTTCAGCGGGAGACTCAGAAAATGATGCTGATAGACGAACATACCCAACATAAAACCTCTGGGCTTCTTATGCACTTATATACACATGTGCAGGCACATCAAATGCACTTATACACACATGTGCAGGCACATCAAGCAACATGCACACCCATGAACATGTCTTCACACACACAGCACATGTACTATATGTGTACACACACACACACACACACACACACACACACACACACACACATGCACATACATACTAGGAACCAATCTTTATAGTAAAAAGGAAAATGAAGGACGGAGACTTGGCCTAAGAAAGGAACAGGATATATCTAGCCTGGCTTAGACCAGACCACCATCTATTTGTCCAGGAGGGCCAGGGCAGACCCACAGTGACTATAGGTATCTGGAGACCCTCTGGTGTCTCTTCTATCTTCAGTCAGGTGTCAGGAGTATAGTCAATGGCATTTTCTCTTAGATCACAGCATAGTTACAAGAGACACAGAGAAATTGTCCCTTTCTGCAGCTGAAGAATTTACATTTCCCAGCGAGAAGGCAGAATGGAGCAGATGAAGTTTTATTGTATGAAATTTTATATTTAGTCAGTTTGGTTCAAAGCGCCCAAAGGCTTTCTGGTGGAGATGCCTATAAATTAAAACTTATTGAGTTGGTACTTTTATTTTTGCCACGAGCAAATAAACTCAGAATCCATGATCACATCTGTTTATGGAGCCGCTTTCTTCCCATTAGGGATTTGAGTCCCCGCGCCTGAATGTACTTTAAGCTTGGGTTGTTTTGTATGATGCTATAAAAATAAATTGGAATGAGGCTGGCTTTTAATGCTACAGTTTACTTTATCCCACACTCCTCAAACAACATAGCATAAAGACTGAGCAAAATGCACCAACTTATTAAATAAACTTAATTTTTCAATTATAGTGTGAATCATTATTTATAAACAAGGGTTTTTTTTACAAGAGCACTCATTGTTTTGTGCATACTAATTTTTCTTTTAGTTTATTAAGTTGGCACCATTTTTTTTTGAGGAATTCAATATGAATTGGATCACTGTAGTCATAGTGTTTATTTTAGTCTTGTGGTTTCAGTGCCTAATGGTTGATCAGCACTTTGCATTGCATAATGCTTTCAAACATGCTTAAGATAATTATAATACAATGTCATTACTAGAGGAACAGGAATGGATTGTGATGGAACACATGCAATAATGAATGTGGAGAGTTACAGAGACATGACACCATAATGATAACAAATTACCCCTGTCCAAAAATGAATGCATACATGCTAAGTATCTACAGAGAACAGAGGCAACACAGGATAGTAAAAGGACTTGGGGAGGGCTATGTTTTATGGTGCTCATCGTAAAAAGAGAGAAATGCCAAACCCAGTTATCTTAATGGGCTCTATGAGCCCCATCCAGAAGGATCATCAAAGAGTAATGCATCCCGTGTTTACCAATAAATGTTGATTATTAAATAAGTTTATTTAATTGGTTGACCCATAAAAGGGACCCTTGGAAGTCACTAGGCATTGTTTAATAGACTTAGAACTGTTTTTTTTTAATGTAACATGTGCCAGGTAGTGTGTTGGGCAGAGCTTGGGTAGTAAAACCATAAGCAAGTTATGAAGGAAAGAGCACCCAGTTCAGCCAGAACAGGATTATTTTGGTTCAGCAAAAATTTGAAGAGCACTGGATATTTCAAAACACCATCAATCCCTAGTTTTTTTCTGTCACTTACAATTCAATCTGAATACTTTCTGAGCATATATTTTGGAAAAATTGAACTTGCGTTTCATGCAAGTTGATGCTTAATGGGGCTGAATAAATTATAGTTCGCCCTCGTATCTGCTGGCTTTTCATCCGTGGACAGAAAGAAATCTAGACATGATTCCAAGTTTATTGTAGAATGTGTGTGGATCATTTGTTAATGTTATACAATGTTTTATAAGAACTTGAGTCCTACAAACACCCTCCCACAGAGAGTATAGGACTTTGTTACAGATTCTATTTTTAAATATCATTTTCAATTGTATTTTCTCAAATTGAAGTCATTTTATTTAGAAGACCCCTGGACTGCCGCAATCTCCCGTCTGTACCCTACCACCTCCATGACGCCAGAGTCCCTCATTCTATGGTCAAGTCCCAGAATGCATCTCAAGATTATTCCTCTCTTCTAATAGTTTGCTTCTGAGTTCTAAGTTTTTTATCTCGGATCTTACCTATAATATAAGAAATTTTACCAAAAAATGCCAATTTTGTGCATGTATGTGTGTGTTTTTGTGTGTCCTTAGAACAAGGGGCTGAATCACATGGAACGATAGTTACAGATGGTTGTTAGTCCCTATGTAGTGCTGTGAATTCAACCCAAGTCTGTCACTAATGAACCATCTTTCTAGTCCCACAATTATATATTATGAACAGCATAGTTCTACAAAATACATTGTACTGGCTTTTCTCTTTTGGGTCATGTTTCTTGGTAGCATATACAAGAAATAATAACAAATCCAAAATCAGAAGTGTGTTCTGTTTTCTACCTATGGAAACTTAAAGCTGGTGTGTGTGTGTGTGTGTGCGTGTGCGTGTGTGTGTGTGTTTCCATTTGATTTGTGTATACTGTGAACTAAACTTTCAATTTCAATTTATTTGGCATTGACACAGAATTGTTTGTTGTACCAGCTTGGAATAACTGTCTCAAAAATATTGGTTGAAAATGTTCTTTCTGAGTTCATCTGCCATATCTATTCAAAATCAATTGACTCCAAGTGTAAGAGCACCAAGGATGCATGTGTCTGTCTTTATGCCAACATCACACTCTTGTCACTGTGGCTTATGGTGACTTTTGAGGTTAGATACTCTAGACACTGTAGCACAGCTTCCTAAAAATACTGATTCTGGTAACCCAGGGACTTTGCATAGTCGCATAGCTAAGATTACCTTGCAAAGTTTTATAAAAACAAACAAACACACACACACACACACACACACACACAAAAGGAAATCCTTGTGGTCTTGGCAGGAAGTGAAGTGATCTGAAGGACCTGTTGGGAAGGTTCAGAATCTTGACATTATGTGAAAAGTCTGAGCTTAAACACTCTTCAGTTCGCCTTTGTTTTTCAATTCTTTCTCTACTTTGAAGTTCTCCTGTGTCTTGTATTATTTCTTGTACCCTTTCTAATGGATTTTATTTTACTTTCCTTTTCTAATTTTCAGTTGCGTTAGTAAAAAAATATTTACCTATATAATGATTTTGTAACCAGCAAAATGATTTTGGAACACACAAAACTTACTTGTTTTGTTTTATCTCTGTTTAGGTTTTTACTGTATGTTATATCATGCTATTGATTAGTAAAGATACTTCTGATTGTCGCCATTGTATGTTCTGTGAATTACTTTTTCATGTCTTATTCTACTACCTAGTTTCTTTTCTCTACTTTGGACAGAAGCAGTGGGATTAGACATTTCAGTCTTCAGGATGAACATTCTTTCTGTCTCTGTTAAGGATGGTATTGGCATTAGACATACACAGACTATCTTTATTAACTTAAGCAAATGTCTTTTTATTTCTAGATTATTGAGTTGTTCTTATGTATATTGAATATCATGAAGTCTGTCTTTATTAATACAGTTTTACTTTGGTTGCCCTTTATTATATTAACTGATTTTCAGACGTTAAACCACCTTGGATGTCAGTATAAATTGAACTTAGTTGGGCTGCATAATCCTTTATAACATGCTTTTTGGTCTGATGTGCCAACGATTGTCATTTCTTCTATCTTGTATATGTGGTGTCTTGTTTGCCAGTATTATGTCTAATGGTGCCATGTTCTGACTTCTGAATCAGACTAACCCTGACTTTAAGAAATGCCTCAGGAAGCAGTCCCTCTATCTTTATATTCCAAAAATAGTTTTTGTATAATTGTTATTATTTCTTTGAAGATTTTAGAATTTGCCAAAGGTGCAATTTGGGTCAAACCTCTATGAGAAGCTGCTTTCTTTCCCTTTCCCTTTCTTCTCTTCCTCACCTCTCTCTTTCACTTCTTCATTTTATCTAATGACCTAACTCAATACCATTACTTCCTCTAGGACTAATTAGGTATTTCACATTTTCCTGGGTTTAAGTGTATGCTGTTCTTCCTAGGATTATTTTTATATGGTCAACAAATTTTCCTTTATAACATACACATATATGATAGAAATATCTATATTACATATTCAACCATGCAGTGGCTTTCTGAACGTTATTTTCTACTACCAGATGTTAGTTCTTGATTATTCATGGTCATCTTACACATTGAGAATCGTCTGCTCTTGCTGACTTCAGGGTTTCCGTTTCTCCATCTACCAACACTTTGTGCTGCTAGGCGCATACCTCCACCATCATCTCTAAATGCTTGCTCTGCTTTCTTTTCTCCTCCCCTTCCTAAGGTTTCTGTTGAATGTGTATGTGGTTGAATGTTTAGAAAGTATTGCTCTTTTCTTCTTGAGCACATTTGACTCTCTGAGCTTCAGATCAGAGATTTCCTATGGCTCTGTCTTCCAGGTCACTCATCCTCTCTTTTGCTATCTCATATCTAGATGTGAAGTCATACTGCGGAGTCTTTTTAGTTGATTCTTCACCTCAGCCCCTTACTGTTGACTCTGGGGGATCTTTATATTCATTTCATACAGTTGCTATATGTTTACTTAAATTGTGGACTTGTTGAGTCTTTTACATGC